TAAACGTATTTTGTACACTTATTTAGCTATTAAATTATAGTATTTATTAGTAATTTGAATGTGTTATAACTTAATTATTCATTAATTATGTTTGTTATGTTGAACTCGATGTGCAAATTGGTGGAATTGGAAGAAATTGATGAAAAAGGGAAAAATAAAATAAATCTAGAATTTGGGGACCAAAATGTAAACATTCAATTAGTTGATTCTTAAAAAAATGATGATTGAAAATCACATATGATCAATTGTACGCAATTGGAGGTCAAATGAGTTAAATTTAGTCGAAGTATTTTCCCAAATCAATTTCTAACCGAAAAAATTATGCTCTTGACTTTTAACCTCAACTTGAGACCCATCTTTTGAATAACAAATGTTAAAATTTGAAACATTGTTTGTCTATAATAATTGTATCCCTTTTGAGTTAGCATTGAAACACGATTTGAATCATCTCAATTAGGCATCGGGAGAGAAAGTTATGATTAAAATACTGAAAGTTGTGTAGATATGAAAAGACACAAACCTATGCGCATGGCCATTTTGGCTTGCGCCTGGTAGTCATGCATGCGTGCGCTCATGGGCTTTTTCATAGATGAATTGACAGTTTTTTTTTTTTTTTTTTTTTTTTTTTTTTGCGATTCAAACCCTTTTGGAACCCAAATTGAACGCGGTTTTGACATATTTCGGTGCTCATAAGTACAAAACAAGGGCTACATATTGGAAAACACTCTTATCTCTTTATACATGATAACATAATCAAGAACAAAGGATCTAATTGCTATATTTTGACAGAGAAGATCAAGAACTAGCAAGGAATTGAAGGCCAATTACATCAAGACTTTGAAGAATTCAACTTTGGACTTGAAGATCAACATCTTTTCAATTATTTCATGATCGGAATGATATTTTTCAATTATTTTTATTGTAAACTATTTAAAAAATGATAAACTAGATCATTTTTTATCGGATGAAGATGAACCATATTCGTTATTTATTTCTAATTCAAAACTAATAGTTTATTATTCCTTGCGTTTCTTGATTAATTTTGCATATCCATTGCATTGTTTAATTGATTGGCCACAAATTAGATAATTAGTTGCTTATTGTAATGTTGGGAAACTTACAATAAATTTAGAACGCGTCAAAAGTATCATATGTATAATAAATGTTAGGAATAATATTTATCACGTGTGCAATCATATAGATAATCTAAACTTTAATGCATTCTAATAATTCTAATTTGAGCTAGAAATAGATTCTGATAGTGGTTATGATAGATTAAATTTGTCTTGAAAAAGAAAATTAAATACATTAACTTTATCGATTGTCAAGAATGTATAAAAAGAACTAGACTACAAATCAAGAGTTGAAGTAGATAGTAATAGGCAAATTCGAAATCCAATACAATCATCCATAATTTGATAAAAATAGAATTTTTATAGCTTTCTTAGATTAACTTATTATAAATTAAATCAAAAATTCACTTGTGTTAAATAATTCGAATTCCATACGAACTAGTCAACTTGAATTGAATTTATTCCCAGTGGGATGATATTCTCAATTCACTAAATCTATTACATGTAAACGATCTCATACGCTTGCGGGTTTCGCATGAACTAACCTCCGGAGATAATTACAATTTTTATGCACATACATTTTTCTATATGGGTTACTATTAGTAAGAAAAACTCTTAAGTTTGTAAAGGACAAAATAAAAACTAAATTATGGAACAACTTTTTATCAAATTTCATTGGTATCACAAAGGGGTGCCAATTAACGTCAAATTTTTGTTCCAATTCCTGAGACGTAAATTGGATACGTAATTATTGAATTAAACGTGCACGAATGGAATGCAATTTTAGTCATTTATTGGTGTAGTTTTTGAAATTGATATTGGAGCCGGAGTTTAAATTTGATGATTTGGAGCTTGAATTGTGTTGACTTCGATGAAGCCACACTATTGGGTTGATAGAAGGATGAGTTTCACAATAAGAAGATAAACCTCATTGGAACTAAGGGAAAATTTTATAACTAAGAGTTTAAGTTTCACCCATTTCAAATTTAAGAGATATGCACTACAAGAAAAAAAGCATTTTGCAACAACGTTTTCTGTTGTATCATCAATTGCATGTTGCTAAAAGGGGTCTATGGCAACATTCAACAAGTGTATGTTGCTATTGGTTGACTAAATTGAGTTTTAGCAACGTTTTTTTAAAGAATGTTGCTAATACACCCTTTTGCAACGTTCAAAATCCGTTCCTGTTAATTTTCATTTTGCAACGTGCAATGCACGTTGCTGTTAATGTTTTAGCAACGTGCATTGCGAGTTGCTGTTAATTGCTTTTAGCAACAGGCAATGCGCTTTGCCATTGAATGTTTTAGCAATGCGCATTGAACGTTGTCATTAACCTTTTCGCAGCGTTCATTGACGTTGTCGTTAATTCTTTTTAGCAACGCGCTTTTGAACGTTGTCATTAATCTTCTCGCAATGTTCATTGCATCTTTTCATTAATTGTTATAGCAATTTGGGTCTAACCCGTTCAATTCCACCCGACTAACCCAAATAAAAAACCTAATCACGCAATACCCATCCCCATCCGTGCCGTCTTGTCCCCTTTTTCTCCAACACACAGGTGAAGGCGAAGAAGAAGGATCCAATGGCCGACGTTGCGGAGGAAGAGCTCGAGCACGAAATGGAGGACCTCAAGGCCAAGGTCAATTCTAGGTACCTAACCCATGGCCATAGTCGGATTCGAGGCTATAACCATCGCAGCCACAGCTTGAGCTGGAGCCGGAGCCTCTGCTGGAACCCAAGCATTATCCTCAACCTGTGCCAATGTTATTCAACTCACAAACAAACACATTTTTATATAATTTTTTGTTTATGTATTGTATTTCCGATTTTTTGGTTTGACTATTGTAGAAGCGAGAGCTATTGAGGGTAGATGCGAAGAGAATTTGGAGGCAGATGCAGGAGGTGGCTGTGGGGAATTATCGCGCGTTCATTGCAGCAGCCGATGCGTTGCTCAAGATCCGAGAGCCTCTATAGAAAAACACCTTGAATCTCTGGTAGATTTTTTTTGTTTCCTTTTTTTTTTTTTTTTTAATTTCAGTTTGCGATTATATCTTATGATTTATACAATTTAAACTATGATTGTAATGTGAGATAATTATTGATATTGAGTTGCAATATGATTGAAATAAAATGCAAGCTATGGGTGAAGTGAAGATGTGGAATAAGATCTTGTGTGAAGGGGGTGGGTTTATCCTCAATAAAACAAATTATTGTTTCTTGTTTTAATTTAATTTAAGCCAATTGTGAGGGAAAATGGCAGTGCTTGTTGAAATAATGCTATTTATGTGTTATATTCTGAGCAGTAGTAATTAACCAATTGAAGGAGATGTTCGAAAACGGGAGGATGCAAAAAGAGTAGTGGATGCAACTGTCAAGCGTTTTGGGGGGATTTACAATGTGTCATGAAGCACTCAAGTATCTTGAGAAAGTTGGACCTGGAAGGGACTCATCTAGTGGAGGATTTATATTGAACATCACTGCCACTTTGCATTACACGGCATCTTGGTATCAAATCCATGTATCTGTAGCCAAGGTTTGTGGGTTTCGTTCTTGCTATAAAGAGAGTTTGACTTGCATAAGAATTTCTGATCAACGGGGTCCGTCTTCCAAAATAAAGACTTTAACTATTCTTTGGTGGCGTAGGGCTGGAGGTTTGCAAGATAAAGAAGGTAGTGTAAGGGAGCTACTTCTAAAAATCAATCTGTTTTTTCTTATAATAATAAATCTAAAGTTTGATGAAACAATCCTAGGAAACCTTGAAAGGTTTTATGATGTTTTCGTTTACTTTTTATGGTGCAAACATGTGAATTGAAACTGATGATATTTTATCCTCAAAAAGGGGAAAATGGTATTACAATTTTCAAGGTGCGAGAAGAAACTTTGAAATTGCTTGGAAAATCTGACGTGTATTTCTTCAGTCCCGAGCATT